GAAATCAGTAAGTCCTTTAGAAATAAAGAGAAATTCTGCTGAATAGTTTTTTAAAGTCTTCTTCCAGAGTCATCTGTGTCATTAAAAATGGTTTTTGTCTAAGTCTTTGTGATTTTACAAACTGCATGATATCTTATTCTGTTATGAATGTGTGCTGCTCTAGTCCTTCGATAACCACCACCCATTCTCACCATATTGTCCATAGGCACTTTTTCTGCAGTGTTAGGAATGTCATCTTTCAGTATTGCTATTATCAGAACCATCTTAATTCAGAAGCATTTGCCTTTTTCATGATCAATGAATTAACAAGTGGAGCCTTGTTATCAGTGTTAAAATTCTTTGATATCCACTTTTCCCACATCAGTAATAGACTGAGTTAGTTTTGCAAATATGAGGAGGTTATATTTTTTTCCTCTCTTGACATACAAAATTCTTCAAAGTCACCACCTTATTCATCATCATCACTGAAAATAGTCACAGGCGAGATGTTATAACAGGTACTCAGAATTATGTTTAGTAACTATGTTCCAAGCTCTGTCAACAGGTTCTGTGGCATTCTTTATGCTAAACTCATTTTGCAAACTTTCTACACCTATATTCACTGCTACTAACATGCTGTTCAAGGAAGTGTTTTACAATTAGTATTCATAGATCTAAGATCAGCCTGGTCACATGGCTGAATTAATGAAGTGGGAAAATACACAGCACAAACATTACCTATGGTGAGAATTCAGCTGGGAGATGAGTAGAACAGTTTTAAGTAATAACAAAATCTTGAAGTTATCATCCAGCCTACCTTCCCTCCAGTAAGCATGAGCTACGCTATAAAATGTTTGTGAAACCAATCAGAAAAGATATCCCTGGGCAGTCCATACCTTTTATTAGCATAATAATGGACTGGTAAGAAATTCAGTTTTCTTAAACAATATGGAAACAGATTTTGCCTAATGTCCTACTTTATTAGCTCATCTCAGCACAATTATACAGTCTTTGGCATTCTTAATTCCTGTTGGGGCTACCTCATCAGTTGTAGTCAGTGTCTTTTGAGGCTAATAATGCCACAGCGGTGAGTTTCATGAGCTCTATAGACTTATTCTGGCATAAAATTTTCATCAGCAATGACCTTGGCAAATTCATCAATGAATTTATCCACTGCTTTGTGATCAACAGATGCTTTATCACCATAAATCGTTAAAATTTTAATACCATGTCTTTTCTTAAATTTCTGCAACCGTCATGTTGAGTCTTCATACTTCCCTACAATGTCTAGTTTATTGTGATAGAGCTTTGCATTTTTCATGATCAGCATACATTAACTTGCCTGTGTTCACTATTGTGTGTACAAATCCACTCCTTAAGGACATGATCAAAGCTTTTGCTTTTACTTTCATGCAGCATTTTTCTATTTTGACTAATATCTTTTCATCACTTTTAGCATAGAACTACAGAGATTATCCTTGTTTTTTTTCGGATCATATATGGTAGTCATGTCAACACACCAATACTAAAATGTTTCACACTTAAACTGCTATCCAGTTTCTCCAGCAGCTGGACTTTCTCTGCCATAGAGTGTATCTGGCTGCCTGTATAAAAGGTACATCACACCTGACAGGGCTGGGAGAGTTTCTGGCCCCTTTGGGAATGCTGACTAAACTGTGCTTGGTGTACCTGGGTTTTAACTGCAACCTGTGACAGTGAGGTCTAGCATGAAATTTTCCACTTAAGAGAATCAGGTTGGTGCTTTAAAAAGTATCTGAATTTGGAGCATTTTGGCTTTTGGAATTTCAGATTAGGTATGCTCAATAAATATAAATTTTGATTTGCATAGGTAATAAAATTAAAATATAAATTAAATTTAAAATTACTTTTTAATTTACTCTGTCTTGTGTTTTTCATACCACCTGGATGTCCATATTTCTTGGTAGAATTGAGTTTTTCCTGCCTGATACACACACACACACACACACACACACATACTGCTATAAAATTTTTGTGAAACCAATCAGAAAAGATATCCCTGGGCAGTCCATACCTTTTATTAGCATAATAATGGACTGGTAAGAAATTCAGTTTTCTTAATGTAATGATTCAGTTTTCTTAATGTAATGTAATGTATGTATGTATGTGTGTGTGTATATATATATATATATATATATATATATATATATATATTATATATATATTTGTTGTTGTTGTTTGTTTTAGTACCAGGGATTGAACCCAAAGGTGCTTAACCACTGAGTCACATCCCCAACCCTTTTCAAATTTTATTTGGAGACAAGATCTCATTTAGTTGCTAAGGTCCTAAGTTGCTGAGGCTGGCTTTGAAATCATGAGTCCCCGGCCCCAACCTCCTGAGCTGCTGGGATTATAGGTGTGTCCCACCATACCTGGTTTAGTATTTCTTTGAATGCTGACCTTGGGGCAATGATTTTTCTGCCAAAGGGAAGTTTTCTCCTGATTATTCTTGAAGATTATTTTTATAAAATGAAAAAATTTTAGGCAAGCCATTATATTTATAAAGACCATTTTGTTATCTATCATCTTTTCCACTCTCTAGATTATCTCTTGGATAGATTTGAACTTCTGTTTTACAATATTTGTTATATTCTTTCTCTTTATCACTGACCATAGTTTTTTGGATGGGAAGTTTTAACAATGTTACAACGTATACATAATACAACAATAGAAGTACTACTTGAGCAGTTTTCATGTTCTCTTTGGAAAACAGGCCAAGTGACTGATAACTTTCTATGACATTACTATTGAGATTCCAAATGACTATATTTTTATGGCTATGAAGAGCAGTGAGTGAATGAGTTCCAATGCTCAGAGATTCAAATATCTGCTTGCTAGCCTGTTTACCAAGCTCTTTCAAACCAAGTAAATATTTTAAATGGGAAGCAGTACATGTGCTTTAGACAAGCCCCTTCCACCAGGTCTTTGCTTCCTAAATACAATAGAAATATAGATGTTTCTGTTAGTTGTGGAGCAGGCTGAACAAATGTTACCTGCAGGGTAGCCTGGACACTTGACCCTACCTGTCTAGTTCCTTATCACTTGTTTGCCTCAAGGCTTGAACACTCAACCCCCACCCATCTGGTATAATGGAAACCCACATCTAGCCCCTGCCCAGTCTGCTGTAAAGGCAGAAGATGACACCCTTAGCAACTACTGTATGATCCAATCACTGTACGCCAACAAGGCAGCTTGCAGACTCAAAGACCCCATTAGATTTTGACTATAAAAACTCTCCCCTATCCCCCCTTGCTCTGCTCTCCCCCGACCTCCTCTTTTTCCTCCAGTGGATCAGACACTGCTGCAATAAAAGATCTCTTGGTTGCTCCGAGTGTTGTGGTCACTTTCCTTTCAGTTTCTACCTTTATAAACTTCACCCCACATCTCACAGAGGATTTAAACTCAGTAAATATGACATAGGAAAATTGATTTTGAATTCAATTCCCCTAAGTTTCTAATTTATCAATCTTATCTTGAATAGGCACTCAGGGAGTTTCATGAGTTGGTTAAGATTGATTCTTAATTTATATTTAAATATTAAATATTAAATATTAAAGCTAGCATTCCAGGTAAAAAGAAGTTCTAACAATTAAGAATGATTTTCTATTCTCTGTAATTTTGAGGTATTCTACTAATTTCTTCCACATCTGTTTGATGCATTTAATGTAATTTTTTAAAAACTGTATTTGATATTATGTAGTTTTTTTTTCCTGAAGTCACGTGGCTTCTCAGACTTCCTGCATTTTACCTAAAATTATAAATATCTTCTTTATGTCACTTAATAACCAAAAGAATCTTGAAATTGAGAGAATTGTTTTCTTCATCACACATTATTTTGAAGTAAACTAAGTAATTTTTCAAAGATGGTAAAAAGCAGAGGAAAAAAAATAAATAAATAAGTTGTGATACCCTCCTCATTACTGCTTTTTCCATCATGCCAACATAGTAATAGTCAGGGTTCAGTCAGAAGAGGAGAAACCAGAACAGTGATTTTTGAGAGAAGTATTAAATACAAGGAATTGAGTAAACAACAGTTGAAAAATAGAACAAGGTAAGAGAAACACTGTGCTATTAATTATTGCAAGAGGGTGATTTCATTCATGCAGTTGAGGAGCAAATGGAAGAGGCTGGGGTTTCTTGAACCTTCCAACCTGTAGAACTGGCACAGGGATTTGCAACTCTGAACTCTAATGGTATTGCTAATCTGGAGATGGGAAATTTAGGATATTGGTAAAGAGCTCGAAACAGCTAGGATCTAGAACTCTTAGGGTAGCACTTGAGGCAGCCATGCTGCTATCTCTGAGGCTGACAATGAGATTGGTATGCAAAGAAGGAGAAGGAGAAGACAAAGGAAAGAGGAGGAAGAGGAGGGGAGGATCGGAGGGAGTACAAGGAAGAGAGGAAACAGTGTGCATGGGGGATTAAAACCAATTATTACTGTGAATACAAAATTTGTTACTCAGGAAATACTGACATAAACAGGACAAAATGAACCAGATTTCTAGGTTCCTGTTCATTCTCATATTGCAGGACCCTATCAGGAGAGGACTAGTAAAATAGAAATATGGGGCCAGGTGTAGTGGCACTTGCCTGTAATCCCAGAGGCTCGGGAGGCTGAGGCAGAAGGATCATGAGTTCAAAGCCAGCCTCGGCAAAAGCAAGGTGCTAAGCAAGTCAGTGAGACCCCTGTCTTTAAATAAAATACAAAACAGGGCTGTGGATGTGGCTAAGTTGTCGAGTGCCCCTGAGTTCAATCCTTAGTACAAGAAGAAGAAGAAGAAGAAGAAGAAGAAGAAGAAGAAGAAGAAGAAGAAGAAGAAGAAGAAGAGGAGGAGGAAGAGTAAAAAATAGATATGAGTTTTGGAGTTGAGGAGCAATAACTTAAAAATAGTACTTCACCCATGTGCCAATAAAGAAGCAAAATTCAAGAACAAATCTTTAAGTTATTTAAAACAGTGAATAAAGTAGAAACAAATCAGGAATTATCTTTTAATAGAAGTTGGTTTGGATGGGGCTCTTGAAACTGGTCTGGATGGGACTCTTGAACCTGGTCTGGATGGGACTCTTGGAATTGTAGATGGGGTTCTTGAAATTCTGGATGGGGCTCTTGGAATTGATTGTGGTCGCTGGGAAACCATCGAGGGAGGTTGGCTCTGTAATCCTTTCCCTACTTCCATAGGTTGTTGATCAACTTCTGGCTCTTCTTTCTTTCTTCCCTTTAAACAAAGCCAAATACAACAAAGTATTAAAATGCACAAAATAATAAATAATATTAGGCACAGGAAACAAAATCTGGTTGTCCTCTTTCTTCTAGGAGGTGGGCCACTGTCAACACTACCTCCATGGCCTTGTATCTCGCAGTTGGGAGGGTCCCACAGATAGTTGCAATGGCAGTGATGTTTATTGTTGCAGATGCCCCTCATGTTACAGAATGAAGGTGAGCAATTACTGTCCAAGATGGATATATGGACACATTGTCTATGGATGCAGAGATGGTCATGACCACACTCTGTGCCATCTTTCACATCACCAATATCAGGAATCTTCATTCCATGATGGTAATCAGTTCCCCAGCAGTTTACATCATTGTAGTGAGCCCAATGCACAGTAGTATGCTGATCCAGTGAGGGAACTTCTTTCACACCATCACACTGAATTCTCCCACACAAGACATCTGAGACATTACATTTTACATATGTAGAGCCTCTGAGACCACAGTGGCCAAAACGAGAACCTTGTGTGTTTATTCGTGTGTAGCAAATCTCATTTGCACTTTTTGCTTCTCGGCCAAAAATCTGCCTGCATCGTGCAGTGCGGTCATTACATTCTCTTTCATAGCAGTAGGCTGAGGTATTACAGGGAATTCCATTTTCCACAAATACATCATCTGGGCACTTATGGGAAGTTCCATTGCACCACTCTGGAAGGTCACATATATTAGCCTCTTTTCTACACACTTCTCCTGATGGTAAGTACTGGCAGTTTTTACAACAAAGCCCAAAGGCACAAGTTGACCCATAACTCAGAGTGCAATTCGGCATACAGCAGGGATCTTTTGCACAATGCCGTAAAGGTCCACAGTCACATTCCTCTTGATCTTCAACAATACCATTCCCACAGCGTTTTCTGAAGAAGATATCCTTTGTATATAGATGCTCAAACAAACATTGTGCCCTTTCTAGGGTAAACCACCAAAAAAAACTATAACTGCAATTGCTAAATTTGGGTGTTGGTGGGTTATCCTCATGCATTATACATTTACGTGGTAAGCACTTACATGTACTAGGGTCATCATGGGGCATCCCCAAATTATGACCTAAATGATGAGCCATAGCAATTGCAGACAGGGTCAAGGTTCTGTTTATAAAAGTAACAATTGCACAGCTACGAAGTGGATTACACATTCCCTTAGTTGAGCCAAGGCCACTTAATCCTCTTAAGTGCCTGTGTATAAAAAGATGTGTGGTATCATGCTTTAACCGGGGAAGAATATTTTCAGTTTTCCACTTGCAATACAGATCCAGAGATTTTCTTATATCATCTACTACAATGGGATTTTTATTAGTCCACAACTCCAAACCACACATTAACACCTTTATATCCAGAACACTATAAATGGAGTCCACTATATTTGACACAATAAACAGATCCATCATAATTTTTGAAACATTCCCTGTATAGTGAACGTATAGATAATTGTCAATCACCCCTACAATTTCAATAATCCTATAATGGGTCCACCAGCCTTCATAGGAACTTTGCTTCAGAGTGAAATTATTAACCTCTTGAAATTCTATTTGGCATGTTATTTTATCTTTCATAAAGCCCGATCTTCGTGTTAGGGATTCTGTCTCCTCATTGTCCATCTTGTAAACCAGATGTTCAAATGTGGTAGAAAACATCATGGGCATGATTTCATAAGCAATGTTGTTTATCTCTAACATTCCTCGAAAGCCCCCAAAACAATTACTGAGGGCAACCACGGATTCTGGGTCCCCCTCCACATAACCATGATAATAGCAGCCATTCTGGATAAAAGGATGGTCCTCCAGCAGAGCACCTTGGTCTGTGTAGGTAAACACTGGTAGGTGTTTGTACAGCAACAGCTTCTTGGCCTTGATGTGAACAATGTGTCTCTGGCCCCCAAAATTCATGCTATAAGACACCCAACCTGGAGGTCTCATTTTTCCAGTAGTGTCAGTTACCTTCAAAGGAATCACCACGTCTGGGGGGCTGTGGTATTGGGGGTGCTCAGCCTGGGTGAGCCTAGAAAAGGACCAAGATATTCCAAACCAGTCAAGCAGGAATAAGACCCTAGTGTATAACAGAGCATCAATCGTATTCATTATGAAGCCACACCTACAACAAAATTTGTTTGAAGAAGTCAGATCTAGGAGTTATAGCTGGCGTGGCTAATTCTTCTGTGTACCAGGGCTAATCATTTAGGATCTGTCCTCTGGCAGAGCTGAATGATCAGAGCTCTCTCTCTGTATCCCTGCAAGCAAGATAAAAAGCAATATGTGGATGGAAGTACATATGAGAGGGCACAGTGAGAAGAAAGAGAAAGGGTAAGATAAAAGTGGTTTGTGCTTCAATCAAGGACTGACACAAGAAACTGCCTGGAATTTGCTGATAAATATTGTTAAGGAAGAGGGAGCCAGAGGGTGTAAAGAGAATGAAAATTGGCCTTGATTAATAATCACTGGATGTGAATGATGGATAAAAATGGATTAATTATATTATTTTCTAGATATATGAACATTTGCAAACATTTTCACAATAAATATAACAAAAATTCTTAAGGTTAATCTACTAATAGATCTTGAACTGCTTAAACAGTTCCAATCTACACACATTAAATTGACATAAGTAATAATGTCTTTTCAATTTTAAATGATAAATTACTTGATACCATTACCTAAGAAATTTTTAAAAATCACTCTTATGTTATATTTTAGATTTCCTATGTATTAGCTACCGTTTACCTCCCTATGGCTCAATATGTATTTAATTTAATTTTCTTCCCCAATTTTCTCTTCTCATTAGCTTTGTCCAACTGGAAGATACTCAACAACATTATTTGTTTCTTTCATGAATACCAACATCACATAATGCCTGGCTTACTTATATAAATAATAAATAATGGTCACCTTAATAGTGATTATTCCTTGGAATGACATAAGTATTATTCAAAAAGTATTTATACTTGATTACATTTTTAAAGAATATTACTCAACATATGTGATCAATTTGTGTTCTGGAACAAAGTGGTATATTCTCAGTTTTCCTTTATTCTTCTCTCTAAATACAACATAATAAAGTGGAAACAAGTCAATGGAAAACAACAACAAAAAGACCTTGAAAGCTAAAAAGAAAAAGACACACTGAACAGTGATCTCTGAACTTAAATAATGATAACACAGTGGATTTTCTGAATTCTCCTTTTTTCTGTAATATATATCCAAAATGGGGTGCTGGTCAGATCTTCACTCAGAACCTCCAAAAAGTACAGACCAAAACAAAACAAAAACAAATAACAAGAAAGTCCCGAACTGAAATTTTACTTTCTGGAAAAATGACTGAAAATGGAAATTTCAACAAATACCTAGTGAGGTGCCCCAGAACCTTTTTCCATAATGGCAATTTCAGACATTTGACAGGTCCAACAAAAACACTCAGTGTACTGATGGGCTGTCCATTCCACACACATTAGCAACATCATGGCACTGATTGAACAACCTAACTTTCATTAAATAACCAAATAACTAACAGATCTTCCTTTAAAGGCGGTACCAAACTCTTAGTTAGCTCCACAATAAGGGCAGTGAAATGGAGCCTCAATTAGCCATAGGTGTACCATCCATAAAGACCAACATTTTACATCCCTCTACCAAGTGACATAGGAAGACCTAAGCCCAGTAGCTTCTGATTCTCCTCTCCCCAGGCCTGAAAGTGATCCAATGACATGAGGTGAAATAGAAGGGCCCTCTTAACCTCTAGCAGGTACCAGTGAGGATTGAGCTGTATCCTTTTCAAAGCAAGGAAAACTAGGATAATATTGAAATTTTTAAAAATTCTCAAATTAAACATTTTTTTCTTTCTTTTTAAATTTCTTCTTAGTTATACATGACAGTGGTGTATATTTTGACATATTTATACAAACATGGAGTACATTTTATTCTAATTAGGATCCCAGTCTTGTGGTTGTATATGATGTGGAGATTCATCGTGGTATATTCATATATGTACATAGGAAAGTTATGTCAGATTCATTCCACTGTTTTCTCTATTTCCATCCCCCATATCCCTTTCCTTCATTTCCCTTTAATTGGACCTCAGCCCACAAAAGAAGGCCATAGTATTTAATCTAGATAGAAAAAGAAATTACTTCCTAAAATAGATGATATAAATAGGATAAAGAATCTCCTATGCAGTGACATCAGCAAAATGTGTAGGAAACTCTGCACCATCCTGCTGTAATAAATACATTTCTGAAAGGCTCCCAAACCCTGGAAAAATGCAAACCAGAATCACTGGAATTTGAAGGGAGATTCAGGATACCTTCTCAGTGGAGTCCAGGACCTCAGTTAAATGTCATACAATCAGGAAGAGACGTTTTACCTCCTATCTTTATTCCGGAATTTGAAGAGGTTTGCTTATGTGTCCAGTTCTTCAATATTTTCTGAGAGAGGCTTTCTAGAGGACTGGTTTCTATTTTATCAGTCTTTGAGCTTTGACTAGTCTTCCACAGACTATCTTACAGGGAAAATGGAAATGATGGCTTAAGCTATTATATGCCACAGATCCTCCTCCTTGCTCAGCAGAGTAAGAAGATGAGAAATACTAGCTCTCAGTTTCATTATGGGGAGGAAAAGAGTTGATCTGTGTATCCAACATACCAACTTCTCCAGAGCTGCCCAAAGAACTACCTTCTGTCTATCTAATTTTAGAGCTCTGATAGGTTCAACACAGTGTAGACAACTCTGGAAATAAGACCCAGCCTATTATACCCCATAGATCCTCCCTATTTCCCAGTACAGAGAAAGCAGACAAATTTTAGCTTTCAGTTTTTCCTTGGGGAGAGAAAGTTGATAGGTACAGCCAATATTCAAACTTCTACATAGATAAGCAAAAATCAGCATCTGACTAAACCAATATTGGAAGTCTGACAGTTCTGGCACAATCTAGATTTCCACAGGAGGAAAAAGATGAAGGCTTTGGCTGGGAGATACCTCTTTTCTTCTCAGCACCCACCAAACAAACATGAATATTTTAGTTCTCTTTTTTCTCATTAGAGAAGTGAAGAATTGGTCCATGTTGCTGTACCCCAACTTGCATAAAGAACCAATATCTAACTTGCCAGTTTTGACTCTCTAATGGGTCTGGTGTAGCGTAGGCACCTAAAGAAGGGAAATGGCAGTTTTGACCAGCTGACATAAAAGCTACCTACCCTGAGCTACCACAAACCAAGTGGACAAAAATCACAATAGTCTACTTCTCCAAGGAGAGAAAAGAATTAGTAGAACAACCATAATCTCTGTACTGGGTGATTGGTGGGAGTCTTCTCATGCTTAAGGCTAGTCAGACAAGTAGTGAGATAGGATTGTTTTGTCTAATGTGCAGACATTAGAGAAGGAAAATGAGGATTCAGGCAAAATTTCCAAACAAAGGAACAACATAAATCTCTAGACACTGGCCCTAATGAAATATAGTTTTATGATTTACCTGACATAAAATCCAAAAAAATAAATCTATCACAAAGATGCATTATAAAAGCCTCAAAGGAGAGCAGGGAGAGGACCAGAAAGTCAGTTCAAAGAAATATTGTATTAACACATCCAAAATCAGAAGAAGCAAGTGCATATCCAGATCCAAAAAGCTCAAAAGTTCCCAAATAAGGTAAAATCAAAGAAATCCACATGGAAATACATAATAATGTAATTGTCAAAAGTAAAACAGGAAGAATTTTGAGAGAAGCAAAAGAAAAAAATGACTTATATACAAAGAATCTTCATGAAACTATCAGTGGACATTTTAGCAGAAACCTTGAAGAACATAAGGGAGCAGGATGATACACACAATATTCTGAAAGAAAACACCTTGTTGATGAAGAATAATGTCCATGGCCAAATTGTCTTTCAATAGGGAAGGAGAGACTAAAGACTGTCTTAAACAAATAAAAGCTTAGGTAGTTCATCACTGATAGAAATGCCTTTCAAGAGAAGCTAAAATTCGTCAAGTTCAAGTGATAAGACACAAAATAGCAATACTATAGTGTAAGAAAGTTTAAATATCAACGATAAAGATAAATATGTAGACATATACATATTTATTTAATAATGGTATGTAAATAATTTTTAATTTCTTTATTTAAATGTTTAAGGTATGCAATATGATTTTTGATGTGAATATACTATTTTTGATAAATGTACACATCGTGAAATGGTTACTCAATCAAGACTTAATTCTAGAGTAGAAGTTAACAGTTTAAGAATAAAAATAACTATATTAAAATATGTTAAAGATAAACAACATCAATAGATGTAAATTATGGCACCAATAACAAATTGTGTGTGGTGTACAGTTTCTGTATGTGACTACAGAGTTTAAGGTAGAGTTTTTATATGCTATTGAACTTATAGTATTAGCTCAAAATAGACTATTATAAATATATAATATTTTATATAAACTCCAGAGTAACCATAAGAGAATACTTGTAGAAATTATGCAAGAAAAAATAGAAAGCAATCAAGTATATCAGTGCAAAATAATCACAAAATACAAAAAGAGGAAATGCTGATAAGAAAGAATTACAAGAGTAACAAGATGACAATATGACAATAATGAATCTTTTATCATCAATAATTACCTTAAGTATAAATAGATTAGAATTCCCAAACAGAAGACAGAATGACTGAATAATAAATAGGTGAAAAAAAGAACAAAGAAGATGCATCTATATACTATATATAAGAAACTCATTGCAGATTTTTGTTGTATACAGGTTTCAACACATAGAGATTGAAAATGACAGGATAGAAAAAATATTCCGTGCAAATAGTGGCATAAAAAACAACAACAAAAACAGTGGATGACTATACTTCCACAAAATAGACTGTGAGTCAAAATCTGCTACAGAAATAAAGACGAAGATTATATAATGGTAAAGTGTCAATCTACCAAGAAAGTATAACAATTATACATATATGTACCCCAAACAGAGCACATAAGTATGCAAAACAAACAATTAATGAAAAAGAAGGAAAAATATACAATAATAATAGGGGATGACTTCAATATTCCATTATCAATAATGGAGAGAATACCTAGACAGAATATAAAGAAA